TCAAAAATTGGAGGCGTGTTGAATATGAAAAAGAAAATAAGTCCCTGTTGGACTTGAGAGCTAGAGTTGATCAGTTGGAGCTTGAGGCTGAAGATAGACTTCTATTAGAATTCGAAATTGTGGAAAAGGAGGGAAAAAAACATCGAATCTTGGAGATGGAAAAACTTGCTAAATCGGACCTGATTCAGAAATCAAGGATTACCTGGCTTGTCGATGGGGATGAGAATTCTCATTTTTTTCATAACTCAATCAAATATAAGAACAGAAGATGCAATATTAATGGGTTAATAATCAATGGGGGAATGGACCACTGACATAAATGTCATAAAACATGAGACTCAAGTTTTCTTTGCCTCTAAATTCCATGAGAATTACCCTCGTCGCCCTCTTTTGATTAATGAGAATTTCAAGGTTTTATCTGGGTGTGACAGAGATGTTCTCGAGAGGCCTTTTGATCTTGCTGAGATCAAGGATGCAGTTTGGAGTTGTGGCGGGGACAAGGCTCCTGGGCCTGATGGTTTCACATTCCATTTTATTAAACATTTTTGGAACCTTATACATGATGATGTTATGAGGTTTGTGAAACATTTTGAAGAATTTGGATGTTTTTCGAGAGGTAATAACTATTCCTTTATTACTCTTTTGCCCAAGGTCAATGATCCTTAAACATTGGCAGAGTTTCGCCCGGTTAGTCTGATTGGAAGTGTGTATAAGATAATCGTAAAGGCTCTTGCAAATAGAATCAAACAGGTTATTGGGTCGGTTATTGATAAGGTTCAAACGGCTTTCATTCATGGAAGGAATATTCTGGACGGTCCTTTGATTATTAATGAATTATTTACTTGGGCGAAGAAAAATAAATCCAAATCGTTCTTCTTCAAAGTTGATTTTGATAAAGCCTTTGATTCCTTAAATTGGAATTACCTGGACAATGTAATGGAGTAGATGTGATTCGGTGGGAAATGGAGGCAGTGGATTAGGGGTTGTCTTTGTTCTGCTAGGGCTTCGGTGCTCATCAACGGTGCTGCCACTAGGGAATTCCCCATAACGAGGGGCATACGTCAGGGGGACCCGCTTTCCCCCTTCTTGTTTATCATTTCCATGGAGGGGCTCAATGCGGTCATGAAATATGCTGGGCAGAAGTCAATTTTTCATGGAGTGAATACTCCTGGCAATGGGCCGGTTATCATTCACTTGTTCTATGAGGACGATGCTATCTTCGTTGGTAAGTGGGAGAGCTCCAATTTCTTGAATCTTGAGCGCATTCTCAGATGCTTCTATGTCTCTTCGGGGTTAAAAGTCAACCTCCAGAAGTAAAAGGTTTATGGTGTTGGTGTGTCGGATAATGAAGTTGTAACGTGTGCGCTCGCATTCTTGGTTGCGAATCAGCTTCCATTCCCTTCAAATTTCTTGGTGTTCCCGTTGGGGCTAATATGTCCCTTAGGCGCAATTGGCAACCTATTGTGGAGAAGGTGCACAAACGGCTCTCTTCCTGGAAAGCTAAAGCTTTGTCTGCAGGTGGTCGGTTTACTCTAACCAAATCTGTTCTCGAAAGTCTGCCTCTTTACTATTTTTCTCTCTTTAGGGCTCCTAGATCTGTTTTGGACAGATTGGAGTCAATTAGGAGAAAATTCTTTTGGGGAGGCTGTGAAGAAAGGCGCAAGATAAACGGGTGGCTTGGAATGTTGTGCTAGGACCTAAAGGAAAGGGAAGTCTAGGTATTGGTTCTCTTGAATCACTAAACATTTCTTTGCTTATCAAGTGGTTATGGAGGTTGTATGATGAAAAATATTCTGTATGGAGGAGGGTTATTTGTGGAATACATAATTGTGAAAGGAAGCATGTGGACAGGTGGGCTAAAAAATCGTTAGGTGGTTGTTGGTTTAATATTGCCAGCATCGTTTCTCGTCTCAATAACTTGGGGGTGAATTTCAATTCTACTTTTGACATCTGTCTTGGGGATGGTAACAAAACTATGTTTTGGTTAGATGATTGGATGGGTAATGGTACGCTGGCTGTCAAGTTCCCTCATCTTTTTGAACTTGACAAACGAAAGAGCTGCTTTGTTGCGGAAAGAGTAGGCTCTGATAGGATGAAGTGGGATTGGAAGAGGAAACCCAACACTGTGATTGAGCGTGAGGAGTTGGATTTAATGGTTAGGCTTGTGGAGCGTGTGCAATTTTCTTCTGAGCCTGATAAATGGAAATCGAGATTTTCGGGGGATGGAGGTTTCTATGTTCATGACTTGCGTAGTGTGATTGAGGATTTGAATGCCCTTGTAGTTTACAATCCAACGGTTTGGCCTAAGATTGTCCCGCTGAAAGTTTCAATTTTCGTTTGGCATGTGTGTATGGATCGTATCCCTACTGCGATGGCTTTGGCGCGTAGAGGTATAAATGGTGTGTCGACATCTTGTTTACTTTGTAACGTGGGAAGCGATGAGACAAACCATATTCTTTTGCATTGCCCTGTTGCTCGGGATGCTTTGCTGCGGCTGCTTAATTGGTGTAACATCCAACCGCCCACTTTCAATTATGTTGGGGAACTTGTAAAATTTGCTGGGTGTTGGGGTTCTTGCCCGAAAAGAAGAAAGATCTTAATTGCTTTATGTTACGGGTTCTTATGGTATGCATGAAAGACAAGGAACGAGCGAAGGTTTAACGACACTTGTAGTTCGCAATCAAAATTAGCGGATAATGTTGTTTCTTTAGTGTTTGGTTGGGTGAAATTCAGGGGAAGCTTTGATAATTGTAAATGGGAAGATTGGTGTAATTCCCCTTTTAATGTTTTGTAATTTGTTTGTTTGCCCTGCCTTTTCCTTTTTGGCAGCGGGCTTTTAATAATATTTCCGCCGTTTAAAAAAAAGAAAGATTAAAACAGCCATAGAAGGGAAAACATAACAACCTTTGAAGACTTTGATCCTCATGGGAGGTTGGAAGTTTATGAAGTATGACATGAAACTCTAAATAAGAGTTCTCTACAAGTATCCACCAAGCAAGAGTAGAACCATCAAAACATGCTAGTATTCACTTGTAATTTGTTGTTCATAAGCCTTTGAAATATATACCAAATATATGTTCAAAGGTGAAGCAACAAAGGGACATTCTTTGACATCAAAATGAAAGAGAATGGAGGAGAAGAAGAGTTTGTAAAGCTCGAAATTTGGTATCCCTCTTAGAGAGCACATTGCTCTCGGATTTGGCTCAAAGAAGAAGAGAAATGAAGCTTACAAGAAGTGCCTTCCATCATTCCATGCACTTTCTTATTAATAGTCAAAAAATGAAAAAGAGACAATAAAACAAAAGTATGGAAAACTTTGTTCCAAGCATGGCATGAATTGATTAAACAATTCAAAAGAAAGCCATGCTTGGTCCCCCCTTCAATTTTCGGAAAAAGCATGTCTCCCATGAGACAAAAGTTGTCTCATGGCTAGTTATTATATATATATATATATATATATATATATATATATATATATATATATATATATATATATATGTTTTCTTTATAAAAATCAATCATTTTTATAAAAAAATCCCAATATATATATATATATATATATATATATATATATATATATATATATATATATATATTAAAGAACTAGTTATATATAAATATCTTATTTTATATAAAACTATCTTTTATATAAATTGAACTAGTTTATTAAGATATAAATATAACTTATAAATAATCATACTTTATGATATATATTTTCATAAGTTGTTATTTCTCCAATAAATATTATTTACACAAATAATAAATTTCCAATTAGTAAAAATATTATTTCAATGAAATAATAATTTTCCAATTAAATACAAGTGTTGATATATTTATTAATAATCAAATTATACTAATAAATAATCAATTGACGGTAACTTGCTATATGGTGTAACCCTATAGAGTCATATATTATTGACAATAGCATTCTATAATGACCACTGGACATACTAGATCTTTCAGCATTCTAATATCGGTTTCATTTCAATCATGAACATTTACGCCCTAGACTCGTTTCTATGACGGAGTTTAATGTGACAGTGGCTGGAGTTGGTTTTCCGGTCAGTAAGAAGATGGTAGTGGTTTGGGTTTTCATTTAAAAGGTACCCATTTATTTAATTAATATATTTGTAATATATTTAATTAATAATTTTCCATTCATTCATTAATAGTATAAAAAAAAATAAAAGAAATCAGTAAAGACAAATCAATCATTTTGCTAAAGACCAATTTGAAAACAAAACCAAACAAGAAAGACCTCAAAGCACTAGACCATATTATAATTTATCCTAAAGGAAACTAGTCTACAATTCAAGTTCTTGTTTGGAGCAAATAAATGTTTGATTTATGAATCTATGTAAAAATACCAATTATGTAGTTGTTTTGCGGTTATTATTATTATTATTATGGTATGTTTAATTTGATCTCGGTCAAAATTTCAATTTATGTTATATTTGATTTGTAATGGTTATCTTTTTCTGAAGTTTTTGATCGTAAACCATATCATAATCAATTAGATAAAAAAAATCAAATTGATCAGAATATTGCTTATTAGTGGAGAAGTTTTATGCATAATTTTCCAAATTTTTATTATTCCTTTATACAAGAAACTAGAGTTTTCTTATATATCCAAAAAAAAAAATGCGGACCCGATTAATGATTTTTGGGTAGGGAAGAAAGATCTAACCCTGCTATTTTGTAATTTGGACCACTGACGCACTGACTACTAAGACTTTATATGAACGGGCCAAAGCCCATCTCAGAAAATATAAAGACTCAGGCAATCATGGCCCAGATCCTTGATGTTAACTCAGATAGATAGAAAATCACGTAGTTGTATAAATATGCATTTGATATTTTCTTTTTATGTGTAAACTTTTTTTCTTAAGAAAGTAAACGTTTATATTGATATTATATCTTATTAGAATATCTATATAAATATCAAAGAATACTTTGTTTTTTTTTTTTAAGTGGAAATAGTTGCAATCAACTACGGTTACCTCGAAAGCTATCTTCATCTTTTCTTCTTTAAACTGTTTCAAGGTTTAAAGGGTCACAAACCGCGTTATACATAAAGTCATACAATTCTTTCTTTTTTCTCTCCCAATCCTACACAAACATCACCTTACATCGCATTTAAAGGGTCCCACTTGCTCATAGTTTTCAAATAAAGATACATATTCAACTTCTTGATTTCTACCCCAATCCAGATCTCATCGGATGAGATGAATTAACCCAATTCCTTTCTGGGTTCTTCTCATTGGACTTCGAATCGGAAAACCCATAAGTTAATTGGGATTTCGTTCAATCGATTAGTATCTTTCCGATCGTTAACAGTATGGGTGTCCAAGAAAATGGGAGTGGTGGTGATAATGGTATGTCTAGTGTTCCTCTTGGAGCGAAGAACAAATACAGAAGAATGGATTCTGAGCTTAACGATTACAGTGATGATGATTTGGAGGTTGCACCTTACAAGCAGACACAGCAGGAAAGGACGAAAAGCACAAGGAAATATGTATTCGCCTGTGCTGTATTTGCATCGCTCAACAATGTCCTCCTTGGTTATGGTACTCGATCCTTTTCTTATCTCTTTAATGGTATCTCAAACCTTCAAATCCAGCTTTAGAAGTCTGTAGCCGACAGACAAATGTACAACTGTTTCAGCTGATGTTACAACCATTTTTCTGGGCTGGATTTAAGGTTTGACTTTCTTCATCCCCTCATCTAATTGATCTTTCGTTTGAATCCCCAAAAAAACCGAGATTTCGAATCATGTTCTTGATCGAAACAGCAAAGATTCATGCGATCCATGTGTTTTGGCTGTCAGCCGTTTCCAAGCTACACGACATAAATGCTATAATACCTAATTTCGCCTAATTCATTGGAATTTTAAATGCATTCTAAAAAAAAAACTGTTACGTACAGATGCCTGATGCATATCGTACATTATTCGAAGCGTATCCCTTTGTGCTAATTGTGCTAATTGTGAATTGTGTCAATGTGATTATTAATGCAATATTGAAATTTGATTCAAGCAATATTGAATTTTCAGATGTGGGTGTTATGAGTGGAGCAATCATATTTATCCAAGAAGATTTAAAAATCACCGAGTTTCAAGAAGAAATTCTCGTCGGAATCTTGAGTGTCATCTCCCTATTGGGCAGTCTAGGCGGCGGCCGTGCCTCCGATGCACTTGGCCGGAAATGGACAATGGGCATAGCTGCAATTATATTTCAGATCGGAGCACTTATAATGACTTTAGCTCCTAGTTTCCAAGTTCTGATGATGGGTCGCCTCCTCGCCGGAATTTGGAATCGGTTTTGGTGTCATGATTGCTCCGGTGTACATCGCCGAGATTTCTCCGACCATCTCTCGAGGCTCCTTCACTTCCTTCCCTGAAATATTTATTAATATCGGGATTCTCTTGGGATATGTGTCCAACTATGCATTTTCCGGATTTTCTTCACATATAAACTGGCGAATCATGTTAGCTGTCGGAATCCTTCCATCCGTGTTCATAGCATTCGCATTGTTCATAATTCCTGAGTCTCCAAGATGGTTAGTGATGCAAAACCGAGTCGATGAAGCAAGATCCGTTTTGATGAAAACAAATGAAATCGAAGCCGAGGTAGAGGAGAGACTATCGGAAATCCTGAAGGCGGCCGGAATCGGAACCGGAACCGGAACCGGAGAGAATCAAGAAGAGAAAGCCGTGTGGCGGGAATTACTAAATCCATCTCCTGCTTTACGAAGAATGCTCATCACCGGATTCGGAATCCAATGTTTCCAACAGATCACCGGAATCGACGCGACGGTATACTACAGTCCCGAGATTCTACAAACCGCCGGAATTGAGGAAAAGTCGAGACTCTTGGCCGCAACTGTAGCCGTCGGAATCGCGAAAACCTTATTCATTTTGGTTGCCATTATGCTCATCGATAAAATCGGGAGAAAACCGTTGTTATACGTGAGCACAATCGGAATGACCATTTGTTTATGCGGTCTAGCGATAAGTCTTTCGTTGTTCAAAGGAACAACTCTCGGAGTGGAATTAGCGATTCTATCGATATGTGGAAACGTAGCGTTCTTTTCCATCGGAATCGGTCCGGTTTGTTGGGTTTTAACATCGGAAATCTTTCCATTACGTCTTCGAGCTCAGGCATCGGCATTGGGAGCGGTTGGAAACAGGGTTTGCAGTGGAGTCGTGGCAATGTCGTTTTTATCGGTTTCTCGTGCAATTTCAATGGCGGGAACGTTTCTTATATTCACAATTCTTTCGTTTTTGTCGGTTGGTTTTGTTTATAAACTTGTTCCGGAAACGAAAGGGAAGTCGTTGGAACAGATTGAGTTGTTGTTCCAAAAGGACCGGAATTGGAATGAAGAGGAAGTAGAGTTATCAGATACTCAACAGTTGGTGAAAAACGAAGGGAATTAAGTGGATTTTAGATGTCGTAATGAGTTATACTATATGCATAGGAAGTTGTAAATTGTTGACGATATTTTTTTACCTTGGAAACGGGAGTAGTAGCGATGTGTTATTGGTGTTTGTATTGATCACGTAAATGTTTGAGAAAGAGGATATGTCGAAACATGCATTTAAACAAAAGAATGTGTTCGTTGTTTTAAAGATTTTGCCATGTTTGTTATACTTTGGTGTAACTATTGCATTAAATAAAGTAATCAAAATAAATCTTTATATTTTCTCTGACGAAATCAAATATTGTTTTGCACAAACTTCAGGTTACAATAAAAATAGATTATCTATTAAAAAAAAATGAATTTCAATATTTGAACCAAGTGTTACGATAGAAAGAAAACGTACTATGCAGTTTTAAAAACATCTTCGAAATTCGATGAATAAATCAAAAAATTCAAGATTTTTTTTTGTTTTTACCGAAATTTGATAAAAAGTTATATTTTATTAAAACCAGTGATATTAACATTTCAAATTTAAAGCATAGAGAATTTTTTTTAAATAAGTTCGATGCAAATTAAAAAGAAAAAAAATATATTTTTTGTATATTATTAAAATCCACTATAATCCATATCCAAATTCGTGATTATGTTGGTAAATATTTAAAAAATTAGTTCGTTTCTTTATACTTTCCATAATTTCTTTATACTTTCCATAATCACATGATCTTCTTGTGATTTTATGTTTGGTTAGCCTTACGTGATTTGAATTATTATAAAAAAAGTTAATTTATATATAACAAAATTGATTATTTTCAACTTTAACTTATATATTATTAAATTATAATTACTTCAACTTTTTAGCTACAAGCAAAAAAAACATAATAAGCAGAACATTAAAAACCAAATAGATTATAATAATACAAAAAAAAAAACAATTACTTCTAAATACTAAAATTCTAATTTACAAATTTAGAATGAGAAAATTACAAATTTAACAAAAAAATGTTAATTACTTTGTGGAAAATAACCAAAAAAAACTCAAATTACATTTTTAGCCACCAAAATTGCAGATGGATTAAGCTTATCTGCGATTTTGGCAACCCATCTGCGAACGTACAAGTCGCTAAAGCTCAGACGTGTTTTAACGACTTGTACGTTCGCAGATGGATTGGTCCATCTGTAAACATAGGAACCCATCTGTGAATATAGTTGTGGCTAGTATAAAAACGAAAAAAAATTTTGATTCATTTTTCACTCTTTTTTGTTGGAAAACTCTCTCTGGAAAGTTTGATTCTGTTTAAAACTTCAACTTTATACTTGTTTAGTTGTTATAAGTAGGGGTGTGTGCGGTGCGCTTTGGTGCGGTTTAGAGTCAAAACAGCAAACCGCACCGTTAAGGTTTTAAACCGCATTATGCGGTGCAGTGCGGTTTGGTTTGGTGCGGACGGTTTTGGTGCGGTTTAGTGAATAACAAATAACAAATAAGCTATTGTGTATTCAAGTTTTATACGCATTAGTATGTAACTACGATTAAATGATTTTTTTTATCATATAACAAATAACGAGTTGTATATAACTGTGGTAAACGATTGTTTTAATATCCCTAACATCCTTATTAATTTGATATATATTAGTGCTACTTTTCCCACCAATTTTAATATCCTATTGTGAAAATGAAAGTTATGTGTCGGTTAAATCCAAAATAGAGTTTGCACTCAGATAGATATATTTTTCCATGATAAATTTAATTTTATTCTTCCAAAGATATTGATTTAATATAATCAATATAGTTTGATACCTAATTTGTCAAGTATCTTTATAAATAGATAAAAATGGGTTAGAATTTGTTATAACTGAAACAATGGTTGTATACTGTCCCATTATTTAGCGACCAATTTGCTATTTTGCACTTGTTAGAATTTGTTGTACATAATAATTTAATAATGTTTTTTATAATTAATAATAATATACATGTATCTTACCTTATATATATATATATATATATATATATATATATATATATATATATATATATATATATATATAATGTGATGCGGTGCAGTTTGAACCACATTTACGTAAGCATAAACCACAAACCGCACCACATATTGCGGTTTACAAAAACTACAAACCACGAACCGCACCGCGAACATTGAAAACCGCATTATGCGGTGCGGTGCGGTGCGGTGTGGGCGGTTTATGCGGTTTGTTCGGTTTTGTGCACACCCCTAGTTATAAGGATTGGAGTTTCTAATTACTTAACATTAATCTGTTTTAGCATTTAATTATTCTTGGTCGTTTAAATTATTTTAGAAAATAATTTAGCATTAATATGTTTTAAACATATAATTGTTACTTGTTTAGGTGTTTTTAGAATTTGAAGATTTAACTTAACACCAACAGGTTCACCGAGAACTCCATACAAACCAACGACACATTATGATTATGTGGGATTTTACATATAACATAAATTCTTTATACGGGTTATATGTATAAATGGAAGAGTAGATATCAATTAGAAAAGAGTGTCAATGATGTTTAGTTTAAAATTTTGAAAATAATACACTTGGTGCGTATAACTTTTTGATAATAAGGTTGTTTCGTAGTCGAACCCTATCAATTTCGTAGTCAAAATAAAAATAAAAAAACCAAAATCGCAGTTGAAATTGTGAGGGAATCGCAGATGGGCTTAGTCCATCTGCGATTTTAAAGGGGCGAATGAGGTATTTATGCAGCTAAAAAAAGGCCATCTGCGAACGTACAAGTCGCTAAAGCATGTCTGTGCTTTAGCGACTTGTACGTTCGCAGATGGCTTGCCAATATTGCAGATGAGCTTAATCCATCTGCGATTTTGGTGGCTGAAAATGCAATTTGGATTTTTTTTTTGCTATTTTCAACAAAGTAATTAACATATTTGGCTAAATTTGCAATTTTCTCATTTAAAATTAACAAAATAAAAGGAACTAAAATCCTTAAAAAGAGTATTCATCGACAAAACTCAGGCCCAGCTCTAAGGAGGGGCAAAATGTGCAGCCGCACAGGGCCCCGAAAAAAAAAGGGCCCGAGTTTTGCAAAATTATATAATTAAGATATTAATATATTTAATGTTTACAGAGTTTTAACACAAATATGCATCAGTTTAGCTGGTTAAAGTGGCATGTGTTAAAATACATAAAAGACGCGGGTTCGAATCCTTCTAAAATCTACGTTAAATATTCTAAACAATTTCTACCCTTAATTTTAATTTATGATCCATACTTAACAATTTATGGTGCTTATCAATTCTCTTTACTAAATCAATTTCCAAAAATTCTACATTTAGCCCCTGAACTTTTATAAATTTATATTTGTCATTTTGTTTATTAATTTAATTTATTTTTTTAGTTTTTCTTTATGACAATTCAGCCTTTAATTTAAATTTCTTTTATATATATATATATATATATATATATATATATATATATATATCATTTAGGCCCCATTTTCATTTTTGGTTGTCGTTTAGATGTTACCATATGTTATTACTCGTTAAAATACTATGATTTTTCTATGTTTATTGGTATAAAGTTTATCGCCGTCTTAAAAAAACTTCAGTTTATATAATTAATTCATTACATGTTAGGGCATAAGGGCATTTGAATCCTCAGGACCGCCCCTGACAAAACTAATAATTTTTCTCATTCTAATGTAATAGTATCAGTATTCCTTCATCGATTAGTTCATACCAAACAACTAGTAGATGAAACGACAAAGAAATAAAATAGACAAAATAATCATCATTATTAAAACTGAAACAGTCGTATATTTGGAAAACAAACACTCAATATATCTTTTCTTAACAATTCTCTAACACTTTGTGTATTTGTGATCACTATGTTCTTACCTCAGCCCACCTAAGCCCACCTAACAAACAGATGAGTATCCCATTTATAGTGGTGTGGGGGTTAGATTAGAATAGCCCTTTTGCAAAAACCTTATCAAAGAGTTTTAATTGACGCATACTAGTTATTTCCATAATTCCATATATGGCTGTAAACGAACTAAACGTTCAACGAACTGTTCGGCGGGAAGTTCGTTTATGTTCGTTTATTTAATAAACGAACGAACATGAACACAAATTATTGATCGTTTAGTTAAACGAACGAACATGAACAATAGTCTCGTTCGTTCAATTATGTTCGTGAACGTTCGTTTATGTTGTTCATTTACGTTCGTTTATGTTCGTTCATATAAGTTCATTTTATGTTCACATATATTTAATTGTGTTTGATTACATTAGTGTATTATATATTCATTTATGTTCATATATCTTCAATTATGTTTTTTTATCTTTGTTCATTTATGTTCGTTTGTTTATGTTCATTTAGCATGTTCACGAACATAAACGAACGAACATGAACAATGTAATTAGTTAAACAAACGAACATGAACAAGAAAACTCGTTCGTTCATCCATTCATGTTCGTTTATTTGTTCGACTAACTTAAACGAACGAACATGAACAAGCCCCGTTCGTGTTCGTTCCGTTCATTTACAACCCTAATTCCATATACATGCAAAATTAGATCATGTACAATTACTTCAAATATTAAAATAGGAACACATTATTAGTATCATCCTAAGGTATGTGTTTAATACTGTAAATAAAAAAGGTTGTAATTTTATTTTTTAATAGTTTTTTGAAAAATTGTATTTGTAGGTGTAAGAACAAAGAACTACCTATATAAACATGAAGTTTAGATGTTTCAAGAAATTGAGATTTGACTTTGATATGCTTATTCACGGATAGGACATGAGCTAGTAAAATATAGTATCAAGTTAGAACTTTATGATGTGTGTATTATCTTCATGTATTTGTTGGATTTTTTAGGTAATAAAATTACACATGCATGGAAAAACACTTAAATCCTTAAGTTCACGTGCAACCTAGAAATGATTTATGGTTTCTCTATTGAGAGTAATAAATTATGAATATCAAGAAACTCTAAGGAAAGGCTATGAAAATCGAAATTCACACAAA